GCCCCTGGGTCAGCTAGTTGTAAGGCTCAGCTGTGTGCAGCTATCATAGTCACATTAGTCACTGTATTGTGCAGGGGGAACCCCAGCACAGCTGGTTGCAAGGTCTAATAGCACACACCTGCTGCTGATTTGCTGTTAAGTGAGCCAGGCCCCCATTGGGGCTTGTTACTAGGCTCTGGGGCTCACAATTGCTCTAGGCCTCCAGCATGCGAGGCTGTTGTCAGCTCTCTCAGGAGTGCAGCTGGGTGGGGCCGGCCCCAGGCATGGCAGCATGCAATCATTTCAGGCATTGGAAGGTGGGACAGATTTCCTGTGTGGTTGTGTAAAGAGGCCAGTGGCACAAGTCTGCCGCAGCTGACATGCCCCACCACCCGCAGGCCCACACACCTGGCCAATGCAGTCTTGCTCCATGCGCACATCCCACCCTGCTGAAGCAGACCCACTTGCTCCACTGCAGAGGTCCCACACACCCCACCTATGCAGGCCCACAAGTTCTCTGGGCTTGCTGGTGGGTGGGGCCAGTCCCTAGGGCAGACTGCCTGCCCTGGCTGAGCTGGATTAAATCAGAGCTCTAGTGGGTGGGGCAAACCCTTGGGCTAACAGGCCGGGGGAAGAACTCCAATGGCATCTGCCAGCATCTGTGTCAGCATGCCTGTACTAGGTCACAGCGATGGCTGCCCCCAGTGACTCAGTCCCTGGGGAGGTGGGCCCAGCTGCCTTCTGCCCCTCTGAGACAGCTTTCAAGTGAGTCTCTGTTACCAAAGGGCTATGCACCTTTCTTTCTGGTGATCTTTTGTTGGTTTCTGGAATGGATGAATTTGTGTGTGGGCCTTTTAAGGGAAAGCTTTTCTTTCTCTTATGTTTGATAGCTTTTCTGGGGGTATTCCCCATTGGTTTTAATAGCCAGCAAAGCCAGGTATTATGACAGACATCTCTGTTGTGCTGAATTCAAAGGCTTCTTATTGTGGCGTAGCTCTCCTGCTCAGACCCCTGTTCCTCCAGGAAAAGCTTCGTATCTTAAGGTTGCTCCCAGCCGTGAAGTGCTGCAGCTAGAATAGGGTTTTTTCCTCAGCAGAAAGGTATTTCTGCCTCTTCCACCTCTGTCAGTATTGTCCCTTGTTGTGGGGGTTCTTTTTATCCAGTTTCCAGATCTCTCTCAGAGGTGATTGTTCCACAGGTAGTTGTAAATTTGTTGTGTCTGTGGGAGGAGGTGAGTTCAGAGTCCTCCTACGCTGCCATCTTCCTGGCAATCCCCTCAGCTAATGTTTTGACAGAGATTTCCTTGAGTGCCAGGAGCTCAAACAAACAAACACAAACATCAACAACAACAGCAACAACAGAGAACGACCCCTGTGCAGACCGGCTCTGTGTGAGGAACTCCCCACAACTTGGCCAGCCTTGCTCTGAGCCTAGGGATCAGCCTGAGGTGGAAGCTTCAGGTCTTCTCAGGAAGTTCTGAGCATGCGTCTTGCCTGGGCGTGTGATGGCTTTCTAAATCCCGCATGTTCACAGCTGTCTTGTATATCTCAATTTCCTGGAAAATCTACCCTAGCTCCTCCCCCAGACCTTGATGGTCTACTGTATATCTCCCCCATAGTCTCTCATCTCAGGCGTCTTTAGTTGTAGTCCACCGTGTAGCTTTTATGAGCAGTGCCTGCTGCTCTTCCCGTCTGCATTCTGAGTCGTGTGAAATGAGGGCCTTGCATCAGCCCTTCAGGTGTCCCCAGAGAGGTTAGAACAGATTACACAATAATTTGCAAATAAGATCTGCTCTGCTCCCTCTGGTGGGAGCAGGGGGACTGGGAACCGGGCTGCTGTCTACTCAAGACCAAATCTGCCATGCTGGAGAAAGGTGGGACAAGGGTGAGTGAAAATGGCATGAAACTTCCCTACCATTTTGAAGGTGGCTTTTCTTGATTGGGTATTTGCACGGTTGTTGTAAACCTTTGACTCTTCCAGAGCTCCTACAAAGTCAGCTCAGACAGCTCCTGGTAGTTTGTTTGTTTGTTTGCTTGTTTGTTTTTGATGTTTTGTAGGGGAGCAAGAGCTCACAGCTTTCTAGTAGGCCATTTTCTTTACATCACTCCCTAGTAGCACTTTTGAAAAGCAGCTAAGGTTGAGAACCCACTTGGGTGTCTTTGTGGACTCTGCCCACGTCTGTGTGGTAGATGGGATACTGTGCCCCTACCATTCAGGAGCTTTTCTTTGGCCCTGGGAGCATGATTCCTTCCCTGGATGTGTGAGTCCCATCGTCCAGGTTCCAGTCTCTGGTGACTGATATCAAGAAAGTTCATTTCCTCCTGGAAGGTGTGTCCACAGGGGTGTGTCAGGCCAACTGTACCAACACACAGCACACTGAGCTGGACAGCAGTTCAAGTGGTACGTGAATAGGGGTGGGACTTTGCTGTACCCCTTGCACAGTGTTTCCTAAATTTCAGTCATCCGTGTCCACATCCACTATTTTCTACCTTATCTGTGCACCATCTATATTATCACTCACTTAATTTTTCTCTCTAAATGTACGTATTATTTTACTTTAAAACATTTGTTTAAAAAAAAGGTTGATGTAGTATCACAAGTGGAAAACAGTATCACTTGCAAAAAGCAAAAGGCAATTGTAACCATAACTATAATACAAACCAAACAACTTTCTTAAATTTTAGCTTCATGCTGTTTCTGCTAAAAACTCTGATCTTTAAACTTACCTTCCTCTTGGTAGTTCCAGAGCTTTTAAAAATGTGTTGGAGCCAAATAAGTAGAATTGGAAGGGACTCTAAAAAGGGTTGTGATCCAACGTTTTTAAAATGTTTTTTTCTGGAACCTCTTAAAATCATGTCATGTCCCACAACAGGTAAGATCCTAACACATTGCTTAGCGATCAAGTGCATAGGCTGTAGAGCAAGAATTAAATTCAAATACCAACCCTTCCACCGACCAGCTGAGTGGCTTTGAGCAAGTGATTGTGCCTCGCTGAGCATCAATTTCCTCTTCTGTAACATGGGCTATAAAAAATGCCAGCCTCACACAAAACCTGTGCCTGAATATTCATAGTGGCATTATTCCTAATAGCTAAAAACTGGATGGGGCCTGCCTCGTGGCATAGTGGTTAAGTTTGTTGTGCTCCGCTTTGGTGGCCCAGGCTCACGGGTTCAGATCCCAGGCGCAGACCTACGCCACTTGTCAGCCATGCTGTGGCAGTGACCCACATACAAAATAGAGGAAGATCGGCACAGATGTTAGCTCAGGGCTAATCTTCCTCAAGGAAAAAAAGAAGAAGATTGGCGACAGATGTGAATCTTCCTCAGCAAAAAAAACAAAATAACACAAAACAAAAGTAGAAGCAACCCAGATGCCCTTCAATGGGTGAATGGTTAAACAAACTGTGGTTCATTCATAACATGAAATACTGTTCAGCAATAACAGGACTGAACTACTGATGAACACACCAACCTGGATGAATCTCCAGAGAATTACACTGAATGAGAAAACAAAAAATAGCTATTCCCAAAGGTTACATACTATATGATTCCACTTATGTAACATTCTTAAAATGGCAAAATTATAAAAATGGAGAGGCCGGCCTGGTGGCGCAGTCGTTAAGTGCATGCACTCCGCTGTGTCTGCCCGGGGTCTGTAGGTTCAGATCCCAGGCACACACCGACGCACCACTTGTCAAGCCATGCTATGGCGGTGTCCCATGTAAAGTAGAGGAAGATGGGCATAGATGTTAGCCCAGGGCCAGTCTTCCTTGGCAAAAAAAAGAGGAAGATTGGCATTGAATGTTAGCTTAGGGCTGATCTTCCTCACGAAAGAAGGAAGGAAGGACGGAAGGAAGGACGGAAGGAAGGA